GGGACCTGACTAAGCTTGTCATTCTTGAGGGGCAAAGAGAGATTGTGCTGATGGACCCCACTTAATCACCAAGACCAATCTTCACGTGGAGACTCACCCCTCCTGCAGAAGGCTACATATTCCTATGATGCTCATTTTCCCATGACCCATAATAATAATTTGGTCATTCTACCTTCTCCTCAAAGCTCGGCGCCTCCCCTCCCACTTTTCACAGATGATGCCCTGGCCTCCTGCCTCAGGGCACCCACTGTCCTGCGTGATCCAATGCTCTGTTGTTGGACTTCATTTGTGTGACCGGAAAAGCAGTATAACCACCAGCTGCACACAGCCATAGGGAGTCTCTGAAGCTGTAAATTTCCTGAAGGACAGGCAAGGCCTTCAGAGAACAAAGAGCTTCCAAGCCGAGTCATGAAAACAAGTTGTCCCAGCTCCCAGAACACAAGGTGCTCAGGCAAGCCATAAAAAGTTGTTAGGCAGAGTCAATGAAATTGACATCAACCTCCTGAGCGTATAAATAAGCATGCTAAGGTGGCTGAGCAGTTCTTTTCCTCCCAGCCAGAGAGAGGGCTCCACCTGACCTCAGCTTCTTGTCTCTTTTATTTCTCCATCCTCTCATCGTCCTTCCCCCCTGGGAACTTTGAGAGCTGCGTGGGACTCAGCACTCAGCCTCCAAACTTCACCCCTTCCCTTTCCTCAAGTTCTTTCTTCCTTCGCTGATCTCCTCTTTGCTGATCTCCTCTTTCTGAACAGCATTGTACTTTTGTTGTATTCTGTCTTTCCCATCAGCACCCCATATTCTCTTGAATAGGCGGTTGGTTCCCAACATTTTTGGCAACAGGAATTGGTTATGCTGAAGACAGGCTTACCAGGAGTGGGGTATAGGAAATGGTTTCAGGATTAGATTTTCTTAAGGAGCACTCAACCTAGATATCTCACACGTGCAGTTCACAGCAGAGTGCAAGCTCTTGCTGATTTGAGAGGAGGCAGAGCTCTGGCAGTAATGGAGCAATGGGGAAAAGCTGTAAAATCAGATGGAGCTTCACCAGGTCACCTGACACTCATCTCCTGCCACATGCCACAGTTCATAACAGGCCACAAACTTCTGGAGTTTGGGGACCACTGCTCTCAAACTTCCTAATCTTAAAAATTACTCTACAACTGTGCACTATTTTTCCATTTCCAACCAATTCCTCAGCTTTCCATCAGAGCAAAACATTCAGATTCAAGTGAGTTTCCTGTATTCGCTTCTTCCTCTTGCATTTCTCTACCACTCACACCACAGGGTTTATTGTGCCCAGCTATCCATGGAGCACACCCCGGTGAGCTCCACAGCTCCAGGCATGTGTCTGTCATATGGACATTCCACTGGCAGTTGTCCTTGCCCTGGGTAGTTCCAGCCCCCAACCCCTGGTTGAGAGGGACTCTGTTTTAATACACTCAGCTGAAGATATAGGGACAGAGGTAGGCAAGGATGTAGGAACTGGAACCAACTGGGCAACAGGAAAGGAAGGCTCCATGTGATTCATATGACTACAAGAATATACTCGTGGGCCTGGGGATTTAGCTCAGCGGCAAAGCACCTGCCTGGCAAGCGCAAGGTTGTGAGTTCGGTTCCTGGTACCTGAGAAAAACCAAAAAAAAAAAAAAAAAAAAGAAAAAAGAAAAAAGAAAAAAAGAATATACTCGTGTGGCACCTGTTTTAATAGCATATGGGGAGTGGCCTGAGTGCTTTCAGATTCCAGACCGTCTATGATTTCCTCACCCTCAATCCTTTGTGGGATACAGAGGATGAGCTATCTCAGATCAAATGCCAAGGAACTGGGTGTCCAGGCCTCTCTTCTCCAAATAATCAAAATAAACAGAGGGGACATACTGAGGTAAGAAGGATCAGTAGTGAACAAGTAGAGGTAGAGATGACAGGGAAAGAAATAGGGACCAGAAACACAGAGACAGGAAAAGGAGGCAGAGAAGTTCAGACAACTGGACAGGGCCAAGCACCTCCACACAGCCACCACTGTGAAAATGAATTCCATATTCACCACTTTGTGCAAGCTGTTTTGTAGGATTCTAGAGTGGGAATGTTTTAGTCTTTATGAAGTTTTCAGTATCACCTACAGTTCAAGAGCACTGTGGAGGAATACGAGAAGACAGATTCAGAGACAGAGGTAAAGATAATCAACTTAAAGTCAGGCTCAATACTTTGTCCCGATGGGTGTGTTTTTAATAACAAGTGGTGAACAGTTATACTTAAAAAATGCTTGAAAGCAAGGGCATTTATGGCTTAGTTTATGAGAATTTTGGAGGTGGGTGGTACTTGTGAAGTTCTACCTGAATAATTAAATAAGGAACCATGCTGTACTTTATCACTCTCAATTTCTTCCTGAAATCTCATTGCTGTAAGATAGCTGTACAGCTTCTATACCAACTGTAGCATCCCAAGACAGGAGAATAAGGTGCAAGAGGGAATGACTAATGATTTCTAATCAGAAATGAGATTGGTTCAGATTTCTGTTTTATAAAACTTTCTTAGTGGTCATTCATAACAGACGCATTTTGGAAGCTTCCCCAGGGAGGAAGGGCAATGAGAGTGAATATGAGTCATGAAGAAGGCAAAGTCCTGTTGGAGAAATAAAGTGAAAAGAATGGCAGAGGATGCTAGTAGGCGTGGAGGAGAAGGGTCAAAAGCCAGGAGAAAACAGGAGGCCAGTGATTCCACTGAGTACTGCCGAAAACATTGTAAAGTGTATCTTCTTGCAGTTGGGCTTTTGAGTTGCTCTTGCCTGTTCCCCATAATATCTTCCCTTTACTAAAGCTTATATAGGCTTTTTTTCTTGCTCTCAAATGGACCTTGAAAACAGTTCAGCTGCCAACAGGTGTAGGGTTGTGCAGGACTTGCAGGGATTCTCTGCACTTAGTTGAGCCCTTATACCTCTTCCTTTAGGTGTTCCCTGGATTAGGCAATCAGGCCATGCAAGAGTGGTAGCCTACTTTGAGACTTCCTTATTTTCTAAATACTTTGTGCCACGTATCCTTGCTTGGTCCATTTTGCCCACCATGGTATATTAATCAAGGTCCATTTGAGAGCAAGAAAAGTATTCCAGGGCAAAGTCGACTGTAAAGTTAACTTCTTACAACCCCTCCGGGATGTTTCTCAAGACACATTTTGAGGCTTGTACTAAGACTAGAATTATTCTGTCTTTGCCCACGTGGGACAAGGAAAACAATGTGTGGCTACCTATGTCAATGGCTGCAACATGCCAATCTGTTACCATGGAAACCAAAGGTATATTTAAGGTGCAAACAAAGAAAGGCCAGCCGCCCATGTTCCTGACCTGCAAGTTGGGGATGAGCAGTGACAGATCTAAGTTTAATAAACTCTGTTTGCCCTAAATAGAGCCCTTCAGTCCTCTGTGGAATTCATCCTGTTTGCCACTACACTAGGAAGCAGTTCTGAGCAGGACTTAAATTAACCAATTGGCTTTCCATGTTTACTTGTGAGTCTGTCCAAAGCTTAGACTCCTTGTCTGGAGATAGTGGCAGACTCAGTAAGTGAACCTCTGTGAGTCACTGACCCCTACTGAGTCCTGTAATGGTGGGTGAAGCTGTGAAGCCTCAAAGGATAAGTCAAGGTCACAGCTAAGTACACCTGGCTCCATCCTCAACTAAAGACTGTAGCCTCAGGAATCTCATTCCTGGGTGGAAACATAGCTCTCCTAAATTAACATAATACCTTTCCTGGAGAAGTCTTTGAGTGGTCCCTGCCTTTCTTGAGTATTCCCCTTCTTTGTTCTGATAACTAAATAAATATGAGCCCCCCAGAGAAGATCTTGGTCTTAGCCTCAAGAGAATCTTGAATTCTGTGAGGGTTTTGATCCTCCTGGAGCCCTGAAATTATTCCATTTGTCTTTTTTATTTAGCCTTCACTTCCCACTTGTTTGGGAGATTGTGGACCTGATCTGTGTGCCATAACTAAGGGATAATGTTAACTTGAGGACCACATTCTCTCTCTCTCTCTCTCTCTCTCTCTGTCTGTCTGTCTCCTTTCTCTCTTTTATGTGTGTATGAGTATATAATTGTTGCAAAGCATGAATAGTTGTGCATAAATATTGTCTCTAGCCTAGTAATTAGAATAAAAACTCTATCTCACATTTGACATTCTTTCTGCATGACTCTCTCCATGTTTAATGTTTCAACCACATTTCAGCCAACAATCCATAAATTCCTGTCTCCAGCTGAGACTAGATACATCATTTTGGGTTCACTTCAGGTCCATCCCCAGCATTTTCCTTTATCACTATCCACCATAACTCTATGTTATGCCAGAAATTGTGCCCCACAAGATCCACTGTCTTAGAATGTGACACATAGAGATAATTCCTTCAAAGAGGAAACTAAATTGAAGTGAGGGGTTTGGGGTGAGTCCTAACCTAGTGTCACTGGTGTACATAATGGAGCAGAACATTATCATGCAGCCTGCACAAAACAAAGACCATGTGTCCACGGTCCAAGGAGAGAATCCTCAGGAGAACCAATCCCACTCATCCTTGATCTCAGAGGCTCAACTTCCAGAACTGTGACAAAATCAATTCCCATTATTTAAGCATCTCTATCTACAGTGCATGTTACAGCAGTGCTAACAAACTCAACTATTTGCCTTTTCCTTGTAGGCTGCCATCTCAACCATGACCCCCAGGCCCACCCAAATACTGTGATGGAAATTTTGCAAGAAGTTGCCACAAAATGCTTTGTCTGCTCTCCCACTGAGAGGTAGAGTCTGTACCCTCTTGTTGTGGATAGGACAGAAGGGAGTTATAAGACACCCAGCTACTGTTGGTGGAAGACTGGAAAATTGCTTAATGTGGAAAAACTCACACTTGGTGTCAGAAGTATTGTTTAAGTAGAGAAGTGAGTTTTTGATTAACCGATATCTGTCTTTTGCTGCCTGCTCCTTCTTATATTCGCTCAGTAATTATCTCTTCCATTTTCCTGACTGCCTGAAGATGACAGAGCTGGTCACCTCTTTCCTGGACCCTGGTATTGGCAAGATGGACCGTCTGAATCTCACAGATGGTTGGAACTCAGAGAGCATCCACTCATGCACATTTCTAAGAATCTCCTCACAATATATTTGTAAGGAACATGCAATTGTAAGGAACCTCCAGTTTCTGTCACCTTATTGGTTCTGGCTTCGTTGTCCCTCCCTCTCTTTCAATAAAGTCTTTGCTGGTGGCCAGAGGAGAGCCTGAGTCACTCCACAGGAAGCCAGGAGCCTACCACAGGAAAAGGACTGCTGGTGGTGGTAAGTTACAGTCTCACAATTTAAAAATTATTGTTTGAATGCCTATTATATAACAGACAATTCCTTAACTCTTAAACAGAGCTGTCTAATATCCAATTTACCGGTCTGAAATGTCTACTAAAATCTTGACCCAGAATATATTGAATGCAAAATGCACTTGGTCTATTCAAAGACTGAGTATGAAAAACAGGATGCAAATGATCTCATTAATAATTTTTATTTTGACTGACTTTTATTTATTTTTGGAGATAGTAACTCACTCAGTTGCAAGGATGGCTTTGAACTCTCCATCCTCCCACCTCAGCCTCCTAAGTAGCTGAGATTACAGACATGTGCCACCACATCTGGCTTCATAATTTTATTTTGGTAACATACTTCAGTGATATCTTTTTGATATGTTGGGTTAAATAAAATAAATCCTTTTCTCAGAATTTTAAGCTTCTCTTCTAACATGGCTACTGGAAAATTGTGTTACCTGTGTGCCTTATATTTGGGGCTCACATTACATTTCTGTTGAACAGTGTGAGTAGATAGAGGGACAGAGCCCTGAAGGAAGTGCACTGTCTTATAGTTTATGAACTAGTTTGGCAGGTATTAGAAGGCAGAAAATGAATAAATTACAATAAGCAGAAAAAGATACCTGATGATACAGACTGGGGAAGTGTCTGGGGAAGTGGCTTTATATTCTGGGTCAGATCAGATGTCTTGGAACATAAGAGTTAAGCCAAGGCATGAATATTCAGGAAGAACCAGGTGAGAGAAGCCCAAAGGGGTAGAACACTGTGAGCAGAAGGGAACAGAGAGTGCAGAGTCTCTGAGATGGCAATGAGTTGTACATACACAAGGGGTTCAGTGTGAACTGAGCATGGTGGGAAACACCTGCGTGGAGGGATACAGAGAGAGCTGAGGGGCGGCCTGGGCAGGTAGGGAGTGCTGGTTAACTGAGTTAAGATGGAGGTGCTCGGGGGCTGGGGATTTAGCTCAGTGGCGCAGCATCTGCCTGGCAAACGCAAGGTTGTGAGTTCAATTCCTGGTACCGGAAGAAAAACATACAAACAAAAAGATGGGGCTGGGGATTTAGCTCAGTGGCAAAAGCGCCTGCCTGGCAAGTGCAAGGTCATGAGTTTGGTTCCTGGTACCAGAGAAAAACTAAAAAAAAATACATAAATAAACAAACAGAAAGATGGAGGTGCTGGGCACACTGAGAAGAGTGCTGCTATGATTCTCTCTCTCCCTCTCTCTCTCTTTCTCAGTTGTAGCTAGGGTCACTCTATCATTTCTATAGCACACACTTGCTTGTTAAGCTTTATTTCTAGACATGCTTTTGCAATGGAGACCGCTATGAAGTGGTTTTGAGCAAGATTTAATATTAACCACTTGGTTTTCCACGTTTACTTGGGAGTTGTCCAAAGCTTAGGCCCTTTTCCAGAGATGGGCAATGGACTCATAGTAAGTGAACCTCTAGGAGGCACTGGTCCCTGTTGAGGCCTGTATTGGCCTGTGAAGTTGGTACACCCCAAAGGACAAGATAAGGCCACAGTTGAGGACTTTTGGCTCCAACCCCAATTAATTAATAGAAGACTGTAACTACAAGCACCTCACTGCTGCAGTGAAGGCCTTCCTGGAGTTAACATAGTTCTCGTAAGTTAACATAAAGTATTCTTGGAGAAGTCCTTAAAGGGATTCCCAAGTCCTGCCCAGATTCCTGCATTTTCTTCAGTATCACCCTCCTTTGCTTGAAAACCTAATAAATATGGGCCACCCACGGAAGTCTGGGTCTGAACCCAGAGAATCTTAAATTTTTTTAAGAGAGTTGGACCCTCCTGGAGCCCTACAATCATTTCACTTGTCTCATTTATTTAAGCCTTCACTGTCCACTCATTTGGGAGATTGCAGGCCTGATCAACCCTCAATAACTAAGGGTTATTAACCCAATACTCTTGTTTGCTAATTTGCCTCAAGATTGCCCTGTTCTTATTCTCTTGAGCAGCTGGGATTACAGATGTGTGGCACCATGCCTGGCTTTAATGGAGTTTATTTGTCCCTTCAAACATTATTTGGCTTCTTTATAGAGAATGGGTTTTAACAGAGGTAGCAGCAGGTAGTACCTTATTTGTGTGAAAAAACTTGTTTGTGAGGTTAGCAAAAACACAGGGGGCAATGGACATGTTAGTAGACTGGAGACAATCCCTGCTGCATGTTCAATATATTCAGGATCTACAGGTATAAGATTGGATTGCAGGGTAAAAGAAAAGACAACAAGAAGTAATTTCTGCTTGGATCTTTGACAACTGAATATTCAAGTTTGGAGGAGAGATATTGTCTTGTCTGGGTGAGTGGGATGTTATGTTATGTCTTATGATATGTCTTGGATTCCCACAAATAAGGTACTACCTGGACATGATGTTGAAAAAGCCAGCAAAATGCCTGGGCTCTAGTGTCTGACTGGTGAAAAAGAGAGAAGGTGATGGCTTCTCCATAATATTATTATGGTGACTAACTGTGAACAAGTCTGTAGTAATTGTTTTTACAGGCCAAAGTGGACTGCCGTCCTTCTACTAGTATGTACTATTTAAGTGACCTTCAGAAAGCTAGCAATTTTTCTGAAAATCAATTTATTCTTATGGAAACCAGAAATGGTGAACCCTATGGAGCAATTATATAGATCAAACTAGATCCCCTCTCCTCAGACAGCAATCATCACAGGGCTGGTCTCTAATGAAATGGTAGCAAAACTTACTACTCTGCTACTTGTTATCACAAAGGATACTAAAGCTGGACAGATTCTCTGCATCTCACACAAGATATCAGTTAGGGAAATGAAATGCACTGTGATGCAAGTCGTGATAGGGATGTCTTTGTGGCGTTCCTCTTGCACTGAGTGAAGAGGTTGCAGCATGTTGCAACTCGAGCCATCATTTCAGAGGCTCTTCAATCACACACTCTAGGCAAATGCTCACGCTAACTAAAATACTATCCAGATAATAGTTCCAAGACTCTCACAGTGAGCAGGCATGATTACATGAATCTGGGGCTGAAAGTACGTGAAGAACCTGCTGGAAATTTTGCATGGAGTCATGGGTAGAAGCAGATTTGAATGTGCTGAGTCTGAGTCTAGCTCTGTCCTTACTATGTGACCTTTTCCTGTGAGAACATTTAAGAGACTTTCAATTTTACAGTATTCCTGGGCACCAAGTTTGATAAAGTAGACCCTTGCTTGGAGTGGGAGCTATACTAGGAGGTGATTATAGGGTCTGAATAGGGAATGCTGTAAGATAAATCCACACCTAACAAATGACCTTTGCTGAAATGTTTCAGGTGTGGGCAAGACGGGAGGCAACTTCTCCATCACTCTAAATGGAAGCAAAGAGGTGAGTTATGAATCAGCTGGTTACGCTGCTCTGTGGATATTCCCATTGGTGGTACTCACAGTCACTTTTGTCCTCGGTGTGCTGGGCAATGGACTGGTGATCTGGGTGGCTGGATTCCGCATGAAACACACAGTCACCACCATCTGCTACCTGAACCTGGCCTTAGCCGACTTCTCCTTCACTGCCACCCTACCTTTCCTCATTGTCTCCATGGCCATGGGAGAAAAGTGGCCATTTGGCTGGTTCCTCTGCAAGTTGATTCACATCATTGTGGACATAAACCTGTTTGGAAGTGTCTTCCTGATTGCTCTCATCGCCTTGGACCGCTGTATTTGTGTCCTGCATCCAGTGTGGGCCCAGAACCACCGCACCGTGAGTCTGGCCAGGAAAGTGATCCTCGGACCCTGGATCCTTGCCCTAGTCCTTACCTTGCCAGTTTTCATCTTCTTGACCACAGCAAATGATCCAAATGGAAACATATACTGCACCTCCTCCTTTGCATCCTGGGGAGACACTGTCGAGGAGAGGCTGAAGGTGACCATCACCATATTGATAGCCAGAGGGATCATCCGTTTCATTGTTCGTTTCAGCATGCCTATGTAAGTGGTTGCCATCTGCTATGGGCTCATCGTGGCCCAGATTTGCAAAAGAACCATGAAAACTTCCAACCTCTCCTTTTGGGTCCTCACTGCAGTGGTGGCTTCCTTCTTCATCTGTTGGTTTCCCTTCCAACTGATGGCCCTTCTAAGAACAATATGGCTCAAAGAGATGTTGTTAGAGGGTAAGTACAAAACCCTTGGCAGCCTGCTCAGTCCAGCAAAATCCCTGGCCTTCTTCAATAGCTGCCTCAACCTGGTGCTCTACGTTTTTTTTGGCTGGGACTTCCGGGAGAGACTGATCTGCTCCCTGCCTATGAGTTTGGAGAGGGCCCTGGGTGAGGATCCAGCCCCGACCAGCGATGTGGTGACAAATTCTGCTCCACCTAACACAGAGGTCAAGTTGTAGGTAGTGTGAGGAGGATCTCAGGTTTATCCTTTGTCCTACCCTGATCTCACTTTCAGCTTTATCTCACTTTGAGTCATGCCCTGGAATATTTGCTCTGAGAAAACACTCTTGTGTCCCCTAATTTGTGGGAAAGAAATAGGAAACAAGTTGCTGTTGGTGTCATTTCATTTTTGTAACCTCAAGCTGTACCTGAGCTAAGTGTTGGTGGAATAGAACTACAAGAGAAAATGAATGATGTGTCACTCGATTTTCTTAGAATGACTGTGATGATGTTCATGTAAAAACTATAGTTATTTTAATCTCCTTAATTTGTTTGCTTGACATCAAACTTATAGTAGTCTCCTAAGTGAAACATAGTTGGGAGCTCTGACTCTATTTTCTTTATGTTTAGAAAAATTCACCAGTGTAAACAACAGATTTCCAGGTGTTTTTTTTTTTTTTTTTGAGAAGGCTTTTAATAACAGGTTCAAATTCTTTCTTTCTTTTTGTCTTTTTTTGAGACAAGGTTTCACTATGCAGTTCAGGCTACCCTTGAACTCCCTTTGTAGCCCAGGCTGGCCTCAAGCTCACAGAGATCCTCCTGCCTCAGCCACCACACTTGGCGCAATTATTTCAATAGTTACTGGACTATTCTTCTTTTCCTCTTTCAGTTTTGGTGCATTGTAATTATTAAGAAGTTTAATCACTTTATCAAACTGTGGAATGTATTGGTATGAAAAGTACAATCATGTACAGAACTTAATATGGTTTATTTCAAATCATGAGCATGTCAGCTCTCTGAGATTCTGTTCGGTATCATTCCTGATGGATCCTTACTCCCTATGTGTGAAATAGTGACTCTTATATGTATTGAATTAACTAACCAACAAATATTTATTGAGTTAAGGAATCAATAATTAATTTTATCACCTATAAAGTGAAAATTGTTACTTTCTACTTAAATTGACTTCTAGCTTTACAACATGATCAAGCTCCAGTTTACTAAACTCCTACTTTGTGTATTAAAGTATTTATAATTATTCCTGTGGCTTAACTTTTCACGAATAGCTCTGGTTTTGACTTTCAGTTTCATGTAAAAAACTGAATCACTGTTGTCTGATGGCTCTGTTTTTAGATAAATCTACCCCTCACAATACCCTTTTTCTTCTGCAAATAACTAGTGATAAATTAATTTTCATTGTGCAATACATTTCCCCAAAGAATTGGAAAAAAACACTCCACATGAATGACAACCCTGTCCCAATTTCAATAGCATACATACCCACAAATATTTATTGTAGAATGTTTATAGTAGACCCAAAGTTTCAACCATCCAAAAATTTACACCATAGAATAATATATCGCTATAGCAAATCACTGTACACCAATAAATATGTAAAGAATTATACCTATATTATACCTATACCTAATTATACTTAATTATAATTATACCTAATTATAATTATACCTATATTATACCTATATAGGTATCTAGGTATTAAGTATTATACCTATATAAGTATTATGTTTTAGATATTAAATTGAAGACAGAAAATAGAAGATATTCTAGTTAAACAATATGATTCTATACATATATAAAATTTTAAATAATAAATAAACTATGCCTTCATAGACACATGAGTAGGGAGTAAAACCATGAGGGGATGCATTAGTTACAGTAATAGTTAAGATAGGTATTACAGTAAGGAGGATGAGGAAGCAAGCATCTCTGTGGAGATATTATACCCAGTGGCTCCAGGAATGCTGGTGGTGATTTTTTTCTTCACTTGGGCAAATATTTATTTTCCAAAATGTATTAATCTCCATGTTGACCTTTTATTCTTTTGCATATGTGTAGGTTTCTTATGTTCTACTTTTTAAAAGTTAAGAAGAATAGTAAAACCAGATTCACGTCCCTTTTCCTTTATAACAAGAAAGTTGCATGCCCTCTGAGTTTTGGCTGGTTGAACTAGGGCTCTCCATTCATAAAGGTTCTGAGATTCCCTAAATTTGGATCTAGTAGGGGAACTGAGGGGTCAAAGGCAGCAGCAAGTAACAGTTCTGATGTGATTGCCCTGTTTGTCTCAAATGCCAATTAAAACTAACTCATTGGAAATGGAGCTCCAACCTGTGGCTGCTCAAACACAAGGCAAAGAAATAGAAGTCTTTTTTCATCTTCAGCTCTCTAACATCATTGGAGACAACACCAGGAGTAGGAGACTATCTCCCTCTAAGCTTCCCCAGAGAAAATTTTTAAGTAAATGTGAACAAGAAATTTTGCTTTCTTAATCCTGTATGTACATTGCAGAGACCAGACACAGGAGTAGTGATGCGGAAGGGTATATCTCCCTACTCACTCTTTCCCTTCTCTCTGCTTCCTGATCACCATGATGTGAGCAGATTTCTGTTCACCAGAGCCTTTGACCATGCCTTTCCTTTTATGGAGCTGGCTAACCATGGAATGAAATGGGAGCCAAAATAAATCTTTCCTTCTTAAGTTTTGAGTGTCAGTTATTTTGTCCCCAGGATAAGAACGTGACTAAGACAGATATTGATACTGAGAATAGGTTTCAAACCCACATGGGCACTAGATGTGTTAGCTGAGTTCTCCACAGGAACAGATTCAATATTAAACATGTGCATGATAACACAAGGGATTCATAAAGCGGGTTACAGGATCACAAGGGAAGAGTCAGAGTGGCCATTTGCCAAATCAAAAACAAGAATCCAAAATGGTCATCTGCACACTCAAGACTTAGAGGATCCATTAGCATTTAAAGGTCAAAGACCTGGAAGCTCAGTGCAGAGTCAGTGGTGTCAGTCTGTGTTCAAAGGCTAGTCCGTATAGGAAGGCTCAAGGAACTGCAGACCAATGTCCAAAGATATTGGGAAAGACCAGAGCATCTCTGAAAAAATCAAAACACATCTTTCTCTTTGAATTTTTATTCCATTCAACCACAAGTCCGTTGTTTGGTGCTTCCCTGTATTTGGGATGGGTCTCCCCTCCTCGGGTTTCTGGCCCATGTGTCAGTCTTGCACATATACACCCAGAATTTACTAATCTGCCTGGTATTTCTTACTCAAATGAAGTCAGCGTATCATAATTAGCAGTCACAATCCACCTCTTGTCAACTTGTCATCCAAACACATCTCTTAAACCAAGTGATCTCCAAATAAGCAGAAGCTTATAATTATGCCTTGTATGGTATAACTTGTTGGGGACCACTACAAAGTGTCTCTGAGCAGGACTTAATATTAACCAATTGGCTTCCTGTGTTTACCTGTGAGTTGTCTGAAGCTTAGGCACCTTGTCTGACAAGGAGACTGCAGCTGAGCACGTTTATAGTTAATTGGGGACTCTCCTGTTTGTTCTCCCACTGTAAAGGCTATCACTGCTTTCAGATGAAAGAAAATCTATGTAAATGATTCATAAACCCACCGAGCTTTTTGTAATAACAGCATTCTGGGATGTTGAGTAGGAGAAATGCAAATTGGAACCCTGTTTTGTGATTTGAAACTGGAATGTCCCTCAAATCTCTCACATGCCTAGAAGGGCAGCTCCAATCCCAATTAACTATAAGGAGACTGCAGATGCAGTCCCCACACTCCTACAGTATACACCAACCTAAAGATAAGGTAGTTCTCCTGACTGACAGAATTTACTACTTGGGGAAATTTTTCCAAGGTCCTGTGAGATTCCCGCATTTTCTTGAGTATCCTCTCCCTTTGCTTGAAAGCCCAATAAATACAGGCTGCCCAGAGCAGTCTTTGTCTAACTCAGAGAATACTGAAACTGTAAGGGAGTTAGTCCCTCCTGGTGCCCTAAAATCATTGCTTTTGTCTGCATTTATTTAAGCCTTTGTCATCCGCTTGCTTGGGAGATTGCAGGCCTGATCATCCTGCAATAACTTAGGGTTATTTAACCCAGGTTTTGATATTTTAAATATCCTAGGAACAAACAGAAACTAATTCTGTCCCCAGAACAAAAGGCAAAGTTTTCCTTTGCGTTCTGCTGTCGTTCTATTCAGTGTGACAGGTCCTCAGAATGAGGTGCCCACAGATGAAAAGAAAAGTAAGAGAAACAAGAAAAACAAGAGAGACAAAGTTCTGGGGTCAGGGAGCTTACAGCCTCTTGGACTGCAGCCTCCAATACCAATTTCAGCCACCTTTTCTTGAGCGAGAAGCGAGGGCATAGCTAGTACAAATGGGCAGATACCAAACGTTTTAGCAAGGATAATTAAAGGGTTATCCTCAACATATAATCCTACACATGCCTGTAATCCCAGCACTGAAGAGCCTGAGACAGGAGGATCATGAACTCAAGGCTAATCCTCGTTGTATAATGAAGCCTTGTCTTAAGAAACTTTAGCAAACAATAAATAAATCATTGTGTCCTCAATGCATTCTAATCAAAGAATGTCCTTCACATTGTGCTTACTCTGCTCCTGATATTCCAGAACTTATGTAGATTTAATAGTACCAACCAACCTTAATAATAGGGAATGGTCATACAAGCAGATGCCCTAAAGGATCTCCTGTACTTCAAATATGTTATTCTGTTCTCACTTGTATTTTAATAGTCCAGTTTTTTCTTGGTAGTCTGGATCAATCACCCCTGCCAACACAGTAACTCCCCTTTTAGCTCGTTTACTCAGAGGAAGGAGGAGCCCAAAACGACCAAGGAGAAGACTTAGCTTCCAGTTTAATGGGATCATTGCTGTGCTTTCTGGTAGAAGCCCCTGCCTTCCAATCCCATCCCAGAATGAAGACTTCTAGGTTAGCAGAGCATGCGGTTGCAGGAGCAGAAAGTAAACATTTTGTTAGTGCATCACTAAGGGTAACAATGAGTGGTTCAGGTCCCACTTCCATTCCTTGACTCCTGGACCTGTGAATCCTGGCTATGGGAGAAGCAGTATTATATTTTGGCTGGTGATTCAAAACATATGCAGCCTTCTGGAGGCCCTTGCTCTAGCTCCAGCAAGGTGTTGCCACCTAGCTGGTGCTGTAATCGCACCTTCAACAGATGATTTCACCTTTGTGTCAACCCAGGTGCTTCTTGGTGGGAAACATGGTAAGACCAGTGGATTCCATGAGCATGAGCCCATTGCGGCACTTCATCAGCCATGAAGTGGGTTCCTCGGTCAGAAGCAGTGCTATGTAGAATACCATGATGGTCAGTAAGCACTCTGTAAGTCCATGGATGGTAATTTTTGTAGAAGCATTACATGCAGGGAAGGCAAATATGTACCCAGAAAAATTGTCTACTCCAGTAATTGTCTGTTCCAGCACTTCCATTTCTATGGTGGAAGTGGTCCACTATAATCAGTCTTCCACCATGTCACAGGTACATTATCGCAGGAACTAGTGACATATTCAGGACTCAGTGTCCAACTCTGCTTTTTTCAGAATGGGCATTTAGCAGCAGCAATAGCTGGGTCAGCCCTGGCTGTCCATGTTGCTGGGCCT